GGGGGGTGGGGGGTCACCTTAAAATACTCTCCGAAAAGTCCCCCCAGGAACATGGCAATGAACACCCCTGCGAGGAAGACTAGAAAAAACATCGCTCCGTTCATTTCTAAAAATAGTATCAATATCAAAATTAAAAAAGAATTGTTAGCAGAGCTCTAGAACAGTTCTTTGAATCCAGATCCAGATCCAAATTTGGCAGCAAAACAAAGCATCGAAAATAAACATTCTTGTGCTCAAGCTAAGAAAAGATTATCAAAAAATGTCTTTCTGATAACTGATGGATAAATAAAGTTTAAAGGGACTGTCAGCGTAATTTCAAGTGACCCTACATGCAAAAATGAAAAGGCCTATTTTACAACAATGACTGATCGAAAAAAAAGTCTAGGACACAATAATTAAAAATAATAAAAATAAAATCATTTCTAAAAATAAAAAATTTCTTCTTAAAACTTAATTAAAAATTTTGCGATGAAACTTCTCAATGGACGGTTTTAATGAATAAAAAATAAAAAATTTTCTTTCTAGTGTTTTTCTGTTTTCTTAGGATTCATGACTTTTCCAGCGTCCATGGAATGCTTCCTGCCCATTAAGCACTTTATTGATGATACTCACTGGCATCGTTCTGACACGCTTAGGTTTTTTGTTTGCCGTTAAAAGTGCTCCCCAAAGATGTCAGTTATTTATCACATGACAAATTGTATTCTCGATATGTTTGCTTTTATTGAATTTAAACCATAGCAGTTTTTTTGAAACATAAAATGATTTACTGATCGTTTAAAACATGGTTTTTGTGAATACCTTGGGTCATTGTAAAATTTTGGCCTTATGTAATAAAGCAAAACTGTTAAGCTTGCTAATTTTGAAATAGGAAATAACAGATTATTGTGGAAATATCAGATAATTGTGGAAAAATCAGATTATTGTGGAAATATCAGATTATTGTAGAAATATCAGATTATTGTTGAAATATCAGTTTATTGTTGAAATATCAGATTATTGTGGAAATATCAGATTATAGTGGAAATATCAGATTATTGTTGAAATATCAGATTATTGTGGAAATATCAGATAATTGTGGAAAAATCAGATTATTGTGGAAATATCAGATTATTGTAGAAATATCAGATTATTGTTGAAATATCAGTTTATTGTTGAAATATCAGATTATTGTGGAAATATCAGATTATAGTNCATTGGTTCCAGTTGATTGATTGATTGACACAGAGCGCTTGCGCTCTGGCATATGAGGCAGACATCTATACATCTTTACGTCATTCTGAAAAAAACTTCAAAATAAATGATTAATAATTCATAATATTTTCGTAAAATTAGGGTTCCATCAGAATATTAACATAATTACAATAAAAGACAACAAACGTTATAATTTAAAAAGTTATCAAGAAAAACAATAATTGGATAAAAGTCAAAATAATAATAATAAAAAGTCAATTAGAAATATATAATTTGTACTTTTGTCAGATTAAATAATAAATGTTATATTTCTGAGTTGGCTCTATCCATGTTTTCAAGTAGTTCTTCGGTTCTTCTTTTTCTTTATAAAACTTCGTTCCTCGTTTCTTCATTTTATTTCTTTTTTCTTATTCTTCCTGTGTACGTTCACCTTACGTATGTCTTCGACTAGGAAACTAAAAAGAAAGATTTTAACACAATTTCATTAATCAAATAACCTATCGGTTTTTATTAATTTTTCAACCTTGTTGCCTTTAATGCTAAAACGTGATTTACGCAATTGTACGGACCACATGTTCAAAGACTGATTTTCAAACTAGAAAATTAAATATTTTTTTATGAAAAGAAATTGGCAAAATAGGTAAAAAAAATAAGGACAAAAAAGTTTTTATTTTTTGGAATATATAATTTTTGCGCAAGAAATAAAAAATGGTTTATGTTCAATAAATTAATAAAATTAAATGACTTATCTATTATTTATCAAGAACAGCTTTAACAACTATAACCTGTAAAGAACCTACACTGTACGTGTACACTGCGGTTAGAAAAAGAAAAAAATTGCATCTAGTAATCTTCCATTTGATCCGGATCCAAAGGGGCAAAATATCGACCAAAAACTGCAAAAACAAATTACTACTCTCAAAACTCAAATCTAAACCGTCGAAAAAAAACAGAGATTATAAAAATTTCCTGATCTCTCAACGGTTCATCATGTTTGAGCATGAAAATAAGCGTAAAAAGAGGAAAAATAATTTTACAATTCTGCTGTTAAAAAAATTCAGTAAATTTTACAGAAATGTTCATGACCTGGATCCGGATCCGCATCAAAATTTAATGGATCCTAAGCACTGGACTAGTTACCTATCACTTCTAAATCTGTTGAACGGCCATTTACATAGTTTATTTTCACACATTAGAACCCCCTCGTATTCTAGGTTCAACTGGTACACCCTCACCTACAATAAAACACGGTAAAACCAGGGAGTGAGAATAGAAGGGAGATATAACTGACGCGGTTTGCCCTACCATATGATTATACAT